ATCTAGACAAAACTCTCTCCCCCAAATGACTTTCAAAACTCTATCATTACAGTGTTAGATCTCATAAGATAGCTCTTGATAGAAAATGCATTGTATTTTGTCAAGTTCTTTTAGTTCCTGAATGATTTCTCTTTATAAACATTTAAAATTTTTGCAACTCTGTATACTAAAATGAAAATCTGTATGTCTAGAGTAGTTCCAAGGGAAAATACATACTAGATGAGTTTGTCATTAAAAAGACATAAAACCCAGAATTATCATAAAGTGACATTTCCATGTTTTTTACCATGAAAAAGTTGGTGATGTCAATCTATTGGTTATTTTAGAATTTCTAATCTGGTACTAAGAAAATTAGATACTAGGTAATCAGTAGCCTGACTCCACGTGTATCTTTCAAATCATTGAAATCACTTCAGTAACATCCCTCACACACAGAGAAAACAAAAGTGAGCAGGGAAGATCTGGACAAGAGCTTGTAGGTGTAACAGTGATGCTGTGACCCATGTCTTGGCTGGCTTTGTGACCCAGCATTTCCTCAGTGCTGATAAACATGGATAGATTACATTGAAACTATGTGGGCTGTTTATTTAAAGCATATCACATGGAGAGTTTTTCATATAGATTAATGGTTACATTTAAAGAAATGGGACTCTTTCCCTATAATATTTAACAAACTTGTTCTTTAATATGCGTAAAGATATTTCTGCGTCTTTCTGCGTTTGGCAGAAAGACAACAACCTGTACCCAGCTTCTTGTTCCCTATAAGAATTTGATCTTAGTAGTAGTCTTTCTAGTTCTGCTGCTGCTCCGATGGAAGCATGTGGGAAGATTCCTATACTATCATGAAGTTATTTATATAATAGATTGCTCTGTGCAACTCATGACACATCACAAAACATAAACCTCAACCACAGACGCCAGCTTTCTGATAATGCAAGTACCTGACCGAAAGGATCGGTCACATCACAAACTTCTGAATATAAGGATGAAAACTGTGAGGTATAAATCAAGATCACCCCAAAAGAATAGTCAAGGATAAGAAAAAGGGAAAAAGAAAGAAAAGAGGAAGAAAGCTGGCCCATGCTACATCAGAGCAGGATTATTTTTCATTCTCAGGGCTATCCAAATACAATTGTGGAGGAAACTGAAAAAACAAACTTTAAACGTAGCCAGTAGGAAAACAGTTTCTGATGGAGGTTGCCTCCCTGCTCTGAACTGGAGAGTCTTGACAGCAAATGCTTGCTGGGGATCATGACTTAATAATTACAATTGAAAGGGTTAGTTAAGAATGACGGACTGACATCATGAAACAAATGAAAGATGACGAGGGTGAATTTTGAGCTCCAATTCTCTCCCATGCCAGGGAAGCGTTCGACACCCTCTCTGCCTCGGTGTGTCTGGAGCCTCCTCTTCTTGACCTGTCACATTCGTGGCCATTCACTTGTCATCCTCTGCATCTCATTGTTATCCTGTACTGATCCACGACAGAGCCAGAATAGGTTCTTTCTTAAATGTGTTGCTTTTAGCTGTTGCCGAGAACCCCGCCCCTCCATGACTGCCTGCCACAGACAGGCTCACCTTTAACTATACTTCCCCAGCTGAAATGATGTCTGTTACTAATTTCTGCACAAATCTGTGTCTGATAAAACCTTGGAGAAGGGTCTATCTTCTTGCTCCACTTTACACTACTGTGAGTGTAAAACATTCTGACATTTTTGCAGAAAGACAACAACCTGTAAAAAGGGGGGGGAGGTGAACTACTCCGTATAAATCATTGACTCAGTTATACTGTTAGATAATCCTTAGTGTTTCATATCTGCGCTAAGGGAATTAAACTTGAGATAACTAGGAGAAGTGTTATGAGGCAGCATTTATAGAAAATAAAGACTTTTAGGGGAATCCTTAGATATGATTTTGTCTATACTCATGACTTACAAAAATTAATACATACAGTAAGAAAATGTAAGAAAATATAAATTAAAATTGGTGAAACATTAGACAGAAGGAAAATAGAGTAAATTATGAAATGGGCCAAAGAGTCAGTACAAAATACATTAATGAAGTCTTAAATATTTGCAAGTAATGACTATAAATTAGGCTCTGAGCTTTCTAGTGGCCCACACAAAGAAGCAACCATTGCAATAGTGCAGTCATTCTAAGTTCATAGTCCTGGACATGACTATTTTTAGGGGGGAATATACAGAATTTTATTTCAATGAACGCTCAAATATAATTCTTTCTACTTCAAATTTGTATACCCAGTATTAGGCATACTCTATCTCTGGCAGATGGGGAAGAGCTTAAACATTCATTTCATGAAAGGATAAATACATATCCTAGGCCAAAATTTGGCAGTAATGAAAAAATAACATCCTAATTTTTTTCTTGAAAATATTTAACAATATTAATGGTTTACAGTCACACTGCAGATCTTTGACTTTCACCTATCTGTGGTCATAATCAGCTCAGAATGCTTTCCATCTAGCCTTTGCAGACTTTTCTTTATTGGTTTGCTAAATATGATTGTTTGTACTCAGTATTATGCTAAGGATCCAGAATTATTTCATTGGTATTTTATAAG